CCACTGATTTTGGATCACTTGCTCCTTTGTCCCTGGGTTGTTAATACCACTTCCTTTCCCCCACATCCCTCTCTCCCATGTCCCTCCTGAACCGTCAATCCCGTTGTTTTCTCCTCCAGATGATTTATGCAGCCTATTGTATCTAGATAGACCTGCAGAGATAACAATATGCACAAAAAACAGGACAACCTGGTCTGGCCTGTAGGGACCCTGTGTACAATAGGGCCCAAACGCCGTCCTTTGAGCCCATTGTGGCAGCCCCGTGTCCATCCGTCTTGTCCAGGGTCTTCCTCTTCTCCAAGCATGGTGTTCTTCTGCGGGAGCAGTCTCTCCTGATAGCACGTCCTACAGCCGTGGAGTCGGTGCTGAGGCACGGCCACCCTGTGAGACAGGGCGGGGCTGCAGCTCTGCGTGTCTGGGCCATGACCCCTCGTGGGAGTGGAAAGCCTCGTCTTTCTCTTGTGGAGTGGCCGGTGGTTTCAAACTGCTGACTGCAGGTATCCACCCGGTGCATAATCACTATGCCACTAGGACTCCGGGGAGCCCACACAGCTAAGTGGCAGTATTCTGTCTCCCAGTAAGCATGGGGACAGGCTAGAACTGGCCCTGTGGGTCCTGAGGCTCTGTCTTCCCCGGAGCCGAAGGCCTCGTCTTTCTCCCTCAGAGCGGCTGGCGTCTCCCACTGCAGCCTTGTTGCACCGGGTGATGTGTCTGTCTGTCAGAGGAGACGGAGGCCCCAGAAGCACGGTTTCTGTCCGGGTGTCCGTGCGCATGTGGTTTTGTTTTCAGTGGCTTTCTCGGAGTGGACTGGCTAGGGTGGACATCCAGCTGTCCTCACGAACGCTTGCGCAGGCGCTCAGAGCGCCTCCTGGTCAGCACTTTCTGTCGTCAGGACCCCTAGGCACCGCCCTCCACTGGGGGGAGGCAGCATCCCCCCACACCGTGACCGCCCTTCTGATTGCACTTTCCTGTGTTGAAGACCTCAAGCATGTCCCCACCTGCTAACCTGCCACCAGGACCCCCTGGGGTGCTGCCTCCCCCTCTCCCCTCTGCGTTCTGAGCGGTCTTGGTGTGTGCTCCGGTCCCTGTCGGAGGTGTGACTGGCAGACACGCCACACAAGGCCCCAGCCAGGTCCTCGGCACCCCAGGAATGGAAGGTGGGATTTGGGGACCTCTGTTATAGGTCTTGCCATGGTGTAATAGCTAGGCGGTCACTCTTAGCCAGGGCCATGCAGCGCCCTTCCTCAGGCGTCCTGTGCGTTCCCAAGGTCACGTGCTGAGCGCCTCCCCCCCAATTTGGATCACTTGTTGTTCCCTTGTCCCTGGGTTTGTTAACACCACTTCCTTTCCCCCCACCTCCCCCCCGCCCCTGCCCCCCGCCCCCAGCTTCTATATAGAGAACCCACTGGCCCACAGCATGTGTTAAAAAGACCACCTGCCTGGGTCCACTGCGTGGGTTTCACAGCAGTGAGCCGTAAACGGTGGACCCTCCGCTCTGCTCCATGGCCGTACATCAGGGCAGTCTCCACCTGCCCCCGCTGGGACTGACTACAAGGGTCAGTCTCCACGGCTGGGCTTCACAGAAGCAGACACTCATGTCACGTCTCTCCTCTGGAGCTCTGATGGTCGGGCCACTGCCCTTCCGTTAGTAGCCAGGCCCTGGACCACTGTGCCCCAGGACTCAGCTCCGGGGCCCTGGACCACTGTGCCCCAGGACTCAGCTCCGGGGCCCTGGACCCCTGTGCCCCGGGACTCGGCTCCGGGACCCTGGACCCCTGTGCCCCGGGACTCGGCTCCGGGACCCTGGACCCCTGTGCCCCGGGACTCGGCTCCGGGACCCTGGACCCCTGTGCCCCGGGACTCGGCTCCGGCTCTGGGCGTCTGAAAACCCAGAGCTGGGATTCCACATGCTACTTTCCATCTGACTCTACGCTCCATCTTCCTGTGGACAGAAGAACAGGCTGCTAGTGGCAAGTTGACGCCCGTTGGTGCTGAGCAGAACAGCTCCGTAGGGGCTTTCTTTCCGAGGCTGTGTGACCCGAGTCTGCCTGTCTGTCTGTCCTCTGCCACAACCCAGTCTGTAAGCGGGCTGCTGGCTGCCTCTCCCAGTCACTGGTCTTGCCCGACCGAGAGTCTCAGCTCTCTGGGAGCGTGCGTCACCGGCGTAGGTCATCGACCTCGTGACCTCAGTGGCCCTGGGTACAAGAGCAGGCTTCACGTACTAGTGGCTCCAGGGGAAAGGGCCAAAAGTGGTCTCCCATCTGAGTCAGTCTCCCCGAGGGGCTGGACACCTCACAAGGCTGGGGCCACCTACCGGGCTCCTCTTGCCCTCCAGTCAGGGAGCACTTGGACCTTTGCCTTGGGACCGTTGCCCAGGGTAGCTCCTGCCCTGTGACCCCTGACCTCCAGTCACTGCCTCTTCTGCCCCCATCCAGGAGGTGTACCAGGCAGGCTGGTCAGTGTGTGTGTGGGGGTGGGGGGGGTTTCCTGCAGAGGGAACTTCAAGGGTCTTCCTGCCACCCGGCTCCAGCTCACCTGTCCTGAGACCACCTGGACCCAGAGGTCCTAGCCACGGCCGGCGAGGCAGGGTGCAGGCCGGTGGTCTCTGGCCGGGGCTGGCAGGGTGTGGAGTGGCTCTGAGCGCCTTCCTGGATGTGCCGCTGCCACCACCGCCACGGGTATTCTTAGCCGGCCCGCACACACGCGGCAGAGCAGAGACAGCAGGTTTTCAGTTGTCTTGGGGGTGGGGGAGGGGGCTGTGTAGAAGAAGCCTGTCGAGGAGGTGGCTGTGGCCAGGAGGTGGCTGTGGGTGACGCGCTCTGTAGACGCCGCCCAGGCAGTACTTGGTTGCGTGTGTCATCGCTGGGCTCGGGGAGGGGCGGCAGTTACAGCCTAAAATACCATTGTGCTTGTTTGCACCCTGGGTAATTCCAGGTTGTAGAGCCGTCCCAGCCCAGCTGTCCCCCTCCGCAGCTCCACGCAGCAGGCCTGTCGGGGAAAGTCCCCAGCAGGGGGTGTGGGGGGCAGACGGCAATAATGAACTCACCTGGGTGGTCTCCTTCCCTGCAGGTTGGGACCCTGCTAGCTGCTCCTGTGAGGATGGCAGCCTCTGAGCCCCAGGGGTGGGAACAATTTTGCTCTCATGCGAGGCCGCGCGGGTCGGAGGGCACTGAATTAAAACTCTAGGAAGTACCACTCCTGCCCTGAGACACCACCACACACACATACACAGGTGGGCCCTGCGAGTCCTTGATGAACTGCTTAGGGGGGCGCCCAGAGGGCAATGGGGGGACAGCTGGGAGGACAGGCCACCCTCCCTCAAGCTCCCCACCCCTCCCCTGCCCGTCATGTCATGTAGGGAGTCGGGCACCTGTGTTCTCAGAGAGGCTGAACTGCCTTTGACCTGCAGTGGGGGTATGTGGCTGAGCTGCAGGTGGTTGTCACACACACACACACACACACACACGCACACGCGCTTGCTGCCACGTGCCCTCTGGCTGTGGTTGTGGAATGCCGCCTCCACTCCCCGGGGGCCTGGCTTCGAGCTAGTCCACAAAGACAGACAGACTGGAGTCTGGCCCGTGGTGAGCGACCCGTGGGGCGGAGCAGAGCAGAGCTGGGGGCTGTACATCTTCACCGGGGCACAAAGCCTCACCTTCCTCCCTTGGGGCAGTTGGTAGGCTTGAACTGACCACCTGATGGTGAGTGGCCCACCACTTACTTCACAGCAGCACCTGGGCTTGGTACATAGATGCCGGGCAGCGTGGGCTCCCCTGACCACCCTGCCTGCCCACCCCGAGTCCTCCAGGCAGTAGCTCCCGCAAGCATCCCCAGGCCCATGCCCCAGAGCCACCTTTGCCCCCTCCTCACCCAGCCAGCCTGAGTGACCAGCTTGGGAACCCCTGCCCTGCGTCCACAGGAGAAGCCCAGCCCCCTTGCAGGCCAAGTTCCCACGAGCCACCTTCCTGGCCCGAGCTGGCATGACCACCTCCAGGCCAGCTTGACTGACCCCCACCCCAGTGACCTCAGCAGCCTGGGGATTTGTTCACACCTGGACCCCAGACTGGGCACCAGCTAGAACCCACCTGCCCAGACAGGTGTGTTAGATGCAGCTGGCTACTGACTACAGCTGGGAGCAGGGCCTCCAGGGTGACATGGGGCGGGCGCTGGGGCACTGACTCCAGAGATTGTCTCTGGGCTCTCCCGGGGTTCCTCATCAGGCAGAGGCCATCCGAGCCACCCCCTACCCGCCCCCAACCCCCCATGAGCACTGTAAGTCCGTCAGAGACCCTCAGGAGGGGGGAAGGGCTGGCCTCTGGGCTCCTCTTCCTGTCCTGCTGCAGCCTCTGCACCTGCTTGTGGGCAAGTGGGCAAGACCCTAGTGGTCTTGCCAAGTCCCCTGCCTGCTCAGCCAGCTGCCAGGCCCCTCTGCCCATGCATGGCTGACCCCGCAGAGGGCGGGGCAGTGTCCCTGCTGGGTGGCAGGTGAAACAAAGCCTCAGAGCACAGCCCAGAGTGGGCAGGCCAGGGAAGGGGTCCCTCTGCCTTTCCCTGGCAACCACCACACGCTCTCATTCCTGGGCCTCAGCCCCAACCCCGTGTGCAGGGAAGGGGCCCTGGGCCAGCGGGTTGCCCCCTCCCCCCACACTGGCTGGTCCTCTGCCCACAGTGCAAGAGAAACCTGAGCCAGTGCCCCTGGAGAGCCGCTCCTGCGTCCTCATCCGCCGGGACCTGGTGGCCTTGCCTGCCAGCCTCATCAGCCAGATTGGGTACCGCTGCCACCCCAAGCTCTACTCAGAGGGAGACCCGGGCGAGAAGCTGGAGCTGGTGGCAGGTGAGCCCCTGCAGCCCATCTTGGGGCGGGGGGAGCGTCAGCACTGGGAGTCGGTCTGTGGAGCTAACTTAGCAAAATCTGAACTGAATCCCTTGGGCGCTCGGGTGGGGTCCGTACTGACACAGCCAGGGCTGTGTGGGAATGTAGGTCACTGATAAAAGTGGCTCTGTGCTGCACCTCCCTCCGTCCCCCACCTGACCCTGCCCAGCCCCAAAGTTTGGCCTTTGAGGTTTCTAGTGTTGCTCTGCCTGGAAAGGAAGCCCTTGGCCCCTCTTTCCTGGGCGGGTGGGGAAGGCCGACGGCGAGATACACAGTGGACTGTGTGTGAGAGCCTCAGCCGCGCATTCCCACCCGTTCCCATGCCCCCCCCCCAGCCTGTAACTGGCCCCTTGGCCCATGGATCCAGATTGCATCGGGCCTCTTCCTACCAGCTGGGGTGTTCTAGAACATTCTTCCCCATAAATACCACCCATGGCCTGACTGCACCCAGAGGGCCATGGCCAGCTGGGAGGGCACTGGCCTTTTAAAGGGGAGCCTGTCTCCCCGGGCTGCATGGTGGGGTGTCCAGTTGTCTGTGGAGCATGGAGTCCCCACCAGCTCCCAGGGCTCTTGCCCGAACCTAGGATGAACCCAGTAGCCCACCCCCACAGCAGTTGGGCCCCGCCCCACGGCCCCACTCCCCAGTGGATGGAGCCCACGCATGTGAGCCCACACATGTGCACCAGCCCCACTCAGCCCAGAGCAGGCTGTCAGCTGGCCAGCTGCCCATGTAGCCAGCCCTGATAGGGATCGTTTTCCAGGTGTCCCAAGGATCTGTGTGGGCCCTGCAGTGGGACCATCAGCCCCACCCCTGGGCCTGTCACCTGGATGGGGGTGTGTTAGACAGCGACCACCTCGCCCCTGTCCCCTTCCCCAGGTCCTGCCTCAGCCAAAGCCACCCTGTCCTGGGGATGAGGTCTGTGCCTTGGGGTGGGGTGGGTGGTGGTGGTAGGGAGCCCTCTGGCCAAGGGCCCCTCTCAGGGTCCCCTCTGACTTGTCCTGTACTGACTGGCTGCAGGCTCCGGTGTCTACATCACGCGGGGTCAGCTGATGAACTGCCACCTGTGTGCAGGGGTGAAGCACAAGGTCTTGCTCCGTAGGCTCCTGGCCACCTTCTTTGACAGGTGGGTTCCACAGGCAGGTGACCCCAGGAGCAGACAGGCCCCTGAGAGCTGGGGGCTGGCTTAGCTGACCTTTCCCAAAGGACTTGTGGTCACCCCAGCCCTTTCCTGGGGCCTCCTGATCAGGGATCTGAGGGACCTCCCTGCAGGGTGTGGGAGCTTCGATGTGCAGGGTGGGGGTTTCCAGGCCTTTCTGCATACAGGGTGGGGTGCCTAGACCCCTTCTACATGAACTGTTGGGCACCTGGGCTCCTTCTGCCTGCAGAGTGGGGGGGCTGGGCCTGGGGCAGCCCCTTAGAAACATCTCTCTTTGCCCGTGTCCCCTCCAGAAACACGCTGGCCAACAGCTGTGGCACTGGAATCCGGTCCTCCACCAGTGACCCCAGCCGCAAGCCACTGGACAGCCGTGTCCTGAACGCCGTGAAACGTAAGGCGACCAGGGTCCCAGGGGCAGGGTGTCCACGGCTGGGGCTGGGAGGGAGGGGCTGGGCAGAAAGAGTTGCTCTGAAATCCAGGTCTTAAGGTGCTAACGTTCCTGGTGAGGCTTCTCAGCAGGATGAAGTCAGCTGTGAGACTATTTTAATACGTGAAATAGATCTAATGTTCCTTTTTGAACAACCCCTTATTTACATTTCGAGTTATTTTCAGCCTTTGCCATCTGCTCGGCCGCTCCGTCTCCCACTCCTGGGTGTGAGGGGGTGGGGTGGTCCAGGCAGACTGTTGCCTTTCCCTCCAATGCCCCTCTTCAAGTAGCCTGAGCAGGCCTTTGTCCAGCCCTGGCCCAGGGGCCAGCTGCTCACACCCGGGCGCTAGAGCCTGAGGCCTGCCTTCCAGGGAAGACAGGCTGTGCGGGTGGGGCTGCTAGCGGTGTGGAGCTGGGTTGACACGGTCCCCTCCCCCTCGGGGACCTGCTGCAGGGGCCTGGGGGATAGCCTCCCTTTGGGGGGTCCTCCCTTGGGGGTGGGTGCCACTGCAGCGGCTCTCGTTGCAGTGTACTGCCAGAGCTTCGCGCCCAGCTTCAAGGAGAGCGAGATGAACGTGATTGCGGCCGACATGTGCACCAACGCCCGCCGCGTCCGCAAGCGCTGGCTGCCCAAGATCAAGTCCATGCTGCCCGAGGGTGTGGAGATGTACCGCACGGTCATGGGCGCCTCCACCGCCGGCGTGCCCCTGGACCCTGACTTCCAGCCCACCGCCGCCCAGGTCTTCGAGCAGCGCCTCTTTGCCGAGCGCCGGGGAGACGTCGCCGCCGCCATCGTGGCTCTGAGGACCGACACCGGCACGGACCTGGGCGCCCCCGTCACCGCCAACCCCGCCTTCGAAGCCGGTGAGGAGGCTGATGGGGCTGGCTCGGTCATCCAGGAGGTGGCCGCGCCTGAGGTCCCGGCTCCTGGTGGCCAGAGCCCGCCCCCACCCTTCGAGCAGGGCAGCTCCAGCCGGCCTGAGACGCCTGCCAGGAGGCCGGAGCCGGGCGGATACCCGGGAACTCTGTGAGGGCCTCCGGGCGGCGGCTCGGAGACCTCAGGCTAGTGCTGCTGCATGCGATCCTAACCCAGCCCTGAGCCGAGCACCACCTACTGAGCTGATACTGTTGCCAGGACACGACTGCAGGCCTTTGCTTATATCTAAACCTATGAAGGAAACGCCTGCGGTGGTTACACTGTAAGCGACCAGGTCACTGGAGACCTAGCGGCTAGAAGGCCCTGGGTGCCTTCCCCTGCCCCCAGGTCAGCTTCCAAGCTGTAGCTTCCCCTCCCCTGGGGAGGTGTGGGAAGCCCCCTCCCTTGATCGGCCCCTCCCTCCCTGTCTCCTTTCTTGTCCTTTCGCCCAGGAAGACAAAGCCAACGGCCACCAGTGGCCCGTGGGGGGTGCCCATGTCCTGTGACACTCCATTCCTTCCTTCCCCGTGGGGATTCCAGCCGGCCCCTCGGAGCCTGTAGCACGAAGCTGGGGCCCCCAGGGATACACACTTCTCATTTGTCCCAAGGCTCCAGGGGTCCGGCCTCCTTGGGCCACCTCGCACTTGAGAGCGAGTGGAGGGAGCGTGTGCCTGGGCACTGCCAGTCCCTGGGTCTCCCTCTTCCCCACCCTGTGCCCTCCCTAGGAAGTGGGGGACTCTCCTGGCAGTGGCTAACCACCACCTCTGCCCTTTCCCAGCTGCTTGTTTTTGTTTCCATTCTGACTGACATCGTTTGCTATGTTTTGAACCCCAAAGAGCAAAAATTGAGGGGCATGGGTGTTCCTGCCCCCACTGCCCTGCACTGGGGAGGCTCCCCTCTGATGATCAGGAGGCATGCCTCTCCTCTCTCCTGAGCTACGGCTCCCCTGCCCCCACCCCCCCGAACTAGGTCCCACTCACCTCACACTGGGGGCTCTAGCAGCTGGGGCTGGGTCCTGCCCTGGCAGGAAGCCTTGCTAGACCCATCGCTCAGGCCTTGGGGAGACGGATGGGAGGAGGTTCCCCGGGCAGGGCAGCCGGGCGAGCCCTGGAGCCAGGGGCTGGGGGTGGGCCGCGAGGGCGGGCCCCAGGAGGGTGATCCATCCCCTTGAGACTCTTTTTAAGGGGGCACAGGGTATGAAGGGCTGTGTTGTCCTCCTGGTCAGGGATTTGAACCCCCCACCCCCACCCCCTACGGCAGAGCTGGATCTGCTGCTTCCTCTATGCTTTGTCCGTCCAGTGCTCTGACCCCGTAGTCCCCTCCCTTCTGTTCATGGCCCCCACAGACCAAAAGCTAAGGCCCCCTGCAGCTGGAGGGCAAAGCCCTGTAGTGCCTGCCCTGCCCACCACCTGCCCCTCCCCAGAGACGTGTGGAAGAGGGCCTCTCCTGGCTGACCCAGGCTCCCAGGCCTGCTCCCGCCTGCATCCCAGAAAGATCTGGTGGCCCCCCCAGAAAGGAAACGAGCTGGGGCTCCAGGCGTGGCCCCCTGCCCAACTTAGCAGGTCCCCAATTGCATGGGCGGTGGGGAGTCCTGTTGGCCAGAGGAGGCACTCTGTCTCCTGTCCCTGGAGCTGGGAGGGGACTCCTGGTGGCTCCTGTGGCCCCCAGCAGTGAGTGGTGACTTCCCTCTGGGGTTTCCCGCCCTTTGTCCCCCACTCCCCGATTCACGCTCCCCAACCTGCACTTTAGTTTGGCCGTCACAGTGGACGTGTGGGAGACGGGCTGGGCACTGGAGGTGGTCTCCCTCCACACCCAAGGTGTGTCCCTGGGACCCGCGGCCTGCCCCTTGCTGCGCTGCTCCTCCCGTTGGGTCCCAGGTCAGGAAGGCATATGTGCGGTCAGGCAGCCGAGAGACGGTTGACCAATGTGAGCAGTCCCCGCCTCGGGTGATCCGGGCGGCCTTTTGCACTAACTGTCCGGCGGGGAGGTGGGGGGTGGCCCCCCCGCTGACTGTGCGCCGGGGCTCCCCCCGGCCTGATGTGCCGCAGCGGCACGGAGGGGCCGTCCAGAGTGCCTTAGCATATTGACCATTTTCCCCAGGAAACCCGGAACCCTGTCCGTCCCTTACAAGAAGACTAGGTCCAGAGGTGGGGCCATTGCGCCCCACGGGGTGACCCCAGTCCCTGTTGCCCGAGAGAAGAGCCCCTCAGTGTGTGTGCTTTGCCCCCACTTGACCCCTGAGCTGAGTAGTAGCAATACACACCCTACACAGTCTATTCCAGAGCTAATTGTCGCCTTGCACTGGGGGGTGAGCGCAGAGGGGACCAGCCCCCAGGGACGGGGCAGCCTCGCCCGCCCTCTCCGGCCTCCCAGCCGGGGCCGCCTGCACAAGTCCCCAGGAGGGACGAGAGAGGTGGCAGATACTGTGAGCCCGGGGCCGCCTGGCTGCCGCTGCCTGGTACTTGAATCCTGTCTTGTGTGCACTGGTCTGGTCTAAGCCAGAGTCCCCTGTGGTTTTCCCGGTGGTGGGTGGGGGGGGTGCGGCGGCCTTGCACTGTTTCACTTGGCCCCGATGTCGGCATTGCTGGGGGAGGTGGTGCCTGTGGAGGGTGGCCTGTCTCGCCAGCACCTCTGCACGGTCTCCAGGGATGGGTGTGTGTCCCCGCTGGGGACGGCTGCCTGGCGGGGCTTGAGATGGGGGTGGGGGGAGCCCCTGCCCATCTTTCCTTGTCTCCCGTACTTGGGCTTCTTTCTGGGACAGGTGGGCAGGCTGGTGGGGCACCTCCTCCATGGGGGCCTGCTCTGCTGCACCAAGATGAGGCCTGGCCTGGGCCCACCCTACTGAGCTGAAGCCCCACTGCCTGGGACCTGGCAGCTCATGTGTGTGGGGGTGGGCAGGCTCCCCAATGCCACCCCAGCCATTCTCTGCTTGGGACCCCTGCCTCCAAAGGGTTGTTTGTATGGAAAGTTCTGGTGGGGGGTGGGCCTGTGGGCCATTAACCCTGTGAAAGCCCAGAGCCAGCCTCCGGCTCCTGCCAGCAGCCCTGGGGGGAAGCCTGTGCAGGAGCTGTAACCACTGTCCCTCACTGCTGCTGCGCCACCCCCCACCCCACCCCACCCCACCCCGGGCCTGGAGGGCTCAGCACCAGGCGTTTGAAGGTGGCCCTCTTTCTGTTGACGTTGTCGGTTTGTTGGTTTGTGTTGTGGAAGGAGCGTGCGGCCCCTGGCGGCACTGGAATGGGACAGCCCCCCCATGGCTGGCATTTTGCACATGACTGCGATTTCTATGTCAGAAGAAGCCAAAACTTGCAATACTATTTTTAGCCGGCAAAGTAAGAGAAGAGCTGAGCGTAAATGTATCAAACTGTGTCTGACTGGAGTGTTGGGTGGCGCGGCGGCGGACGCCAGTCTCTGGACGGACAGACACACAGGAGGAGACGGTCCTCTTGTTTTCTTTTGTTTTCCGTTTTGTTTTGTTTTTTTTAAAGAGTTTGGTTAGGGGTTAAAGTACTGTAACTCATGACTGTTAATAAGCAAATAAACAGTGGAATTAGCCGTTGCTGACCCGGAGGCAGGGCCGCGGTGCCTGGCCCGCTGAGTGTCCATCCTCCTGGGGGCCATGGGGCTGTGTCCCCCGCGCCCCACCCCGCCCCTGCTTCTGCTGTTACTGACAGATGTTGCTGGAGGGACACCTGCCAACGGCCGCCTGCCCGTGGACGCCGGCAGCTCCCACCACACACAGGCTGACCATCATTCATTGTAGAGCGCTTTGTAAACGTCACATTTACAAGATAATAAAGTCAGTTCAAACCCAAGCG